CCGACACTAAATAAAAAAAAAAAAAAAAAAAAAAAAAAAAAAAAAAAAAAAAGCCAAAGTCGTATGAAGATCATGAGAGGATGATATAATAGTGATTGGAGATATTTCTTAAAATAACCATTACCAATGGATTCTACCAATTAATGATAAAAGTAATTCTGATAAGAAATATATATAACTTTTTTAATTTGGTACCACATTCATTCGTCCACGTAAATTTTATAGTAATTATACATTCTTTTATTTTAACCAAACCAAAAATGATAACATTATACTCGAATTGAATTATTTAAGGAATTACCAACATATTGATTTTTTATATTTGGTAGGAGGATATTTAATTTCTCTTGTATATAATACGCATTTCTTTCTTATGACAACTAGATTCGTTTCATTCTGTAAATTACAAGATCACATGAAAGATCACTGATACTATGTTGAAATCTAAAGAAGTTCAAGACTTATCATATACGAAAAACACATCTAGTGAAGTCTCCTCAACCATCAAACCTGAAGAGCGGAGGTAAGTTGAATCATAAAAAGAACACAAATATTATTTGTAAAACGAATATATGGGAAAAAAATTTAGATGCCAACATCTACGCTTTTGTAGCTTCTTTCACGATTCTAAATTGTAGTTGATCAAAATCTAATTTCGTGTTGTCACAAGAAAAGTCGTTGTTCTTATATATCATTATGATGAACCTGAAAATGATCTATCAAATATGAAATGTTCAACTTCTTGACGTGTGGGATTCAAATATATGATGATAATAAAAGAACCTAGTGATGTTTGCATAACTCTAACAATGCATCCAGGGGTGGTAAATCGGGTCATCGTATCGCGTTTTTGTCTGACACGATAATGTTTTATCTAACACGAACACGACACGACACGGTGTCCTGTTTTTTTTTAACTGACACGAAAACAAACGATTAAAAAACGACAAACACGATACGACAAAGATAACATAATAAAAAAATAAGTTTATTTAATTAATATCTAATCATACATAACATGAAAAACACGACACACGAAAAACATGGCAAAAAAATGCTAAATCGTGTTAATTTCGTGTCGAATTTTAAACACGAACACGACACGACATCGTGTTTTTTTAAAGTTAACACGAACATGAATTTGAATTTCAGTTTTATCCCAATTTTGTTTCGTATCATATATTTTTATCGTGTGATGTTAACAATTATCATCCTAAACGCATCCACCTAAAATCGCAAAAGAATCACAGAAAGAAGCATACTTCCTTATAAACTATTTTTTGATACATAATCATGGCATCTTTTTCATGTTTCTACAATAAAGCTAATCTAACACCCCGTTCCCGAGTTGTAGCAAAGAAAAGAAGAGAAGAGAAAAGAAAGTAAGGAGAGAAAAGAAGAGAAGAGAAAGGAAAAGAAATTTGTCTTTTGTGTTCCCGAGTTTGAGAGAAATGGAAGGAAAGTTAAACATTTTGTTCTTTCTCTCCAAATCCTTCCAAATCAGAAGGAAAGTTAGGAGGGAAAGTGATCCCTCGATTTCCTTCAACTTCCCTCGTTTAATGAAACTCGGGAACACTAATTTCTCTTACTTTCCTCTCACTTCCACCCATTTCCTTTCTTTTCTCTCCTTAAATTGAACTCGGGAACGAGGTGTAAAAGATAAGAACATGTATCCATAACTAATAACTAATTTTCTCGGGAGTTGTTTTGTTGTTTTTAAGCTATAAATTGAAAATTTTAAGGAGTAAAAACATAGTAAGTTCTATGTTGTGTTTAAATTGATTTTCATACTAAAAATAACTAGATCGATATCATAGATGCAAATAAATGATCAAAACCAACATGCGATATAAAAATCATATGCGAGGGAACCCCTAAAAATTATATACTTAACCACGTATAATGATTAAATCTTGAATAATGTGGTTCTTTCATGGTTGTAAATATGGAAGTTGAATATGCATACTAGTCGTGAGACTTATGACATGAGTTTATTAAAAAAATAAACAAATATAAATATCTAACAATTTAGAAAATTTAAATTTATAAGAAAAAAAAAACAAAAATATTAATTATTAAAATTAAAGTGTTTATTTATCTTATTTATCTTTTATATTTAAACTAATAATTTAAATAAATAAACAACCATAGTATGTTGTTTGTAATTATATGTGTATTATTGTGTGTATGTGTATTTTGGGGGAACTCACTAAGCTTTGGGCTTACAGTTTCATTTTTTGTTTCAGGTACATCAGATGATCGTAGGAAGGCAAAGGTGTGATCTTATAACTCCTCACATTTATAACTTTGTTTCTGGGATAATCTAATATTTACTATTTTGAAAACAAATTTTGTAATGAATAATGGTTTTGAAATATTTTTAAAAGTTTAAATTTGGTATGATTTTATGGGTGTTACAAGTTTGTATCAGAGCCTTTGTTGAGTGAATTGGAGGAACACTTGTGTGAATTCAGTCTCAAACTAAGGAAAATATTTTCAAAAAGGTTTTCAATATATCAAAGGAGGATGCAGGGTGTACGATCAGCCGGAGCCAGTAAGTAGACCCCAAAATACCATACGTTTATTTGATATTGTGATATGTTAGAACAACATGCTAGTACTAGGCTAGGGATCTTCAGGAATTATATGATATAACTACCTGATTACATAATGCCTGATAGCCTAGAGTTTCCTTATATGAAATTGACATCATTACTGTAGTTGCTTGTGTATGAATCACGACTGTAAATAATTAAGATCTTATAGCCTGAGAATGTTTGGTTTGGCCTTATTTCATGTTCTTGTTTGATGAAGGGCTTAGGGTAGGATCAGGTATTCTAAAGTCTATAGGGTCCAACGTTATGTGTGGTTAGCATACACTTGTGCTGCAGAGTTGGTGGAAGTTTCATGGGTGGGTTGTGTGAGGCTGGTAGGTCAGTTATGAGATAGTTAGCTTTCCTCTAGGAGTGAGGAATGAGCGACCATCATGCATATGTATATGGGATGGTTGCAAATTTGATATCTTCAAGACTGATTATGTGGTCAAGGATGTTAATGGGATGGTTTATAGGATGTTAATCGAAATACCAAACCCTCGATTTCTTGTCACACAAGATGAAGACGAAGGATATGGGCATAGATAGGTCCGATAGGGAAGAGAATGGGTCGAGGGGCTAGGTTTAATATATTTCTTTTAAAAAATATATCATAAATGGTCCATGTGGTAGTAAAATGACGAAAATGTCCTTCAAATATTATAATCAAATAATAGTTAACAACTAAAATCTAACGGAGTTAGCTCAAAGGATCATTTGTTAAAAGTTTTGAAACCACAAGCACCATCTATGAGGTTTTTTAAAAATAGGAACTAAATTCGATATTTTTGAAAACCACAGGAACCATTTTTGAAGTTTTGTCTAAAAATAATGACATATCAAATGTGTTGACTGAGAAAAAAATAATGACATATCAAATGTGTTGACTGAGAACTAAATTTGATATTTTTGAAAACCACAGGAACCATTTTTGAAGTTTTGTCTAAAAATAATGACATGTCAAATGTGTTGACGGATCGGAAAGAAATATTATTCTTGTGTTGTGAATGGTAAAAGATAAAAAAATTAATTAAAAGTAAAAATGGTACAACAACTAACAATAAGTTGAGTACTTGAGTGGGTTGAAAATGATCCCATTCCTCCATAATAATTATGAGTGATATTTGTTTTACCAACTCGATAGACTATTTATGTTATTTGTCCCTCTAAAATTAATATGGTAGAGTGGATATATCATCAACCATGAATATGTATTAAGTATAACGAACATAAAGAAAACGAAAAGAAATTTGTTGAAAATAGTAAACTCAAAGCACTCTATGTGTGTCTTTGACCCATTTTCCAACACACACTTCTCTATCCCTCGACGCCACCATATCCTCCCCCATTTCCCTTCCTTCTCTCTACCAAATCCACCATTCTTCGCCTTTGTTTTCTCAAATCGGCATAACCCCCTTTAGATCCCAATATTTGATTCCTTTCTGTCTCGTCTTTTAATCCAATTGGTTCGGTTTCACGTTTCTATTGCTCGATCTGTTAATAATTGTAATTGGGTTCTTCAAATCAAGATCCTTTCTTTGATTCTCCTGCTTCTTGTTGTTGTAATCAGGTATGATGTCTTCTCTCCTCCCAGATCTGACCACAAGAATCTACCCAGAACCACCATGCAGTTTCTTGTCGGTGGCCGCGGAGGATGAAGGCGTCGACCGGTTTGATCAGCTGCCGGACTCTCTTCTTCTCTTGATCTTCAATAGGATCGGCGATGTCAAGGCGTTGGGCCGTTGTTGCGCCGTTTCGAAAAGATTCCATTCCCTTGTTCCTCAGGTCGAAAACGTCGTTGTTCGAGTCGATTGCGTTATCTCCGACGATGATTCTTCTTCCGCCTCCGGCTCCTCTGACAAATCTCGTGGACCAATTTCTAGTCTTTTCCGCATCGTCTTCGGCGGCATCGTGAAGCCAATCCAAGCACTTGGCCAATTCTTCGGTCCAAAACGATCGTCGTACTCGTCGTTATCCTCCCCTTCTTCTTCCTCATCTTCTTCTTTGTCCGTCGGGAATGTCGACGGTGACGACGATATCGAGCAAGGCGGTGGAGTTACTCATCATTCTCCAACTCAAGTCCTCAAAAACTTCAACGAGATTCGATATCTCAAAATTGAACTCCCCAGCGGTGAATTGGGTATCGAAGATGATGTTCTGTTGAGATGGAGAGCAGATTTTGGATCAACATTAGATAATTGCGTGATGCTCGGCGCATCCTCTGTGATTCGCCCTGCAAATTCTTCACCCAATCAATCCAATTACGACACAATATGCGTTAATGGAAACAATAACCCCCACGAAGATAATGGCAGTATACCGGAATCCTTCTACACCAACGGTGGTCTGAAATTACGCGTCGTATGGACCATAAGCTCGTTAATTGCAGCATCTGCAAGACATTACTTGCTTCAACCGATCATTTCCGAACATAAGACATTAGATTCACTGGTTTTAACCGATGCAGATGGGCAAGGGGTGTTATGTATGAACAGAGAACAATTGGAAGAATTAAGAGTGAAGCCATTGTCAGCTTCTTCAGCTTCAAAGAGAACCCTTGTTCCAGCTTTGAATATGAGGCTCTGGTATGCGCCATTTTTGGAGTTACCAGATGGAACTGTGCTCAAAGGGGCTACATTAGTTGCAACGAGGCCAAGTGAACAATCTGTTCAAAAGGATTTTTCTGATGGATTGTGGGTTTCATCTGCATTTGAGGAGCCTTTTGGAACTGCTGCAAGAATGTTGGTCAAAAGGAGGACTTATTGTCTTGAGATGAATTCCTTTTGATGTAAGAACTCTAACTATTTTTCTTGATTGTGATTTTGTTTCTGATCTCCTGCTACCAAGAATCATTGAAATCAAGGACTTATATGTATTATAAAACTTGATTGATTAACTGTTTAATGTTGCAATTATGCTAGATAATCTATAAAGAATCTTGTTTGATGTGTTATTGTTTTATTTCTTACTTTGAGATTTGAGATGTTCATCCATTTTGATCAGAGCTCTTTTGGTTGTTGACAAAATTATACATTTAAGAGCTGAAATATTGCTATTAGATAGGAATTTGTATACAGGCATTGAAATTTCCAAAACCCAAAAATGGATAGTATTTTAAAGTGTTTCAGTATTATAATATAATATATTTTAAGAATTTAATGTTTGCTCTCTCAAGGCATTCATAAGTTATGCTACAAGCAAAACACTTTTTAATCCACACATCACTTTCTTTAATCATGAATTTCATGCGACTCTTTATACATAAGAAAGGTCATATTTTTCTTTTCTATATCAGTTACAACTTCTACCAAAAGACATCAAGTAAAGTAAGCTGAATACGGAATCTTTAATTTGTTAAAGATGGCTCATTTTTATTCCTTATATGGTGTTTTTTCTTTATAGTTAATATATCTTTGCTTCTTTTATAAAGATTCTCATTTGATATTGTTTTTTGGCCTTTTTCAGTTTTCAAGAATAACTAAGACACCATTAGGTTTCTGAAGGCATTAAATGGCAGAGAAACCACACAATTTTGCTTCTGAAAAATGGAAGGAATGAAGTTGTTGGTAGATGAGGTGGTAAGAGTTATGTGCCCTTTTTTTTTATTTTTATTTTTTTATTTCTAGATTCATTAGACAATATCTTTCTTTTTTGTGAATATTTGTAGGTATAAAAATATGTAATGTTTATTAAGCAAAGGTTATGTCGGAACTACATGCCTTTATGAATCTTGTAGATTTTGTGTCTTTACTACCAAAATCCCATGTTCAAAGTGTTGATTCTCGAGTTGTTTGTAGTAGACTTGCTTGAAAAAAAATAATAAAACTCTTTTGGTGGCGTTCCTTAATCTTAATTTCTTCTCAAGACAATACATGTTGTACTGTGTTTGATATCCATTAGACTGGACTGTGTTTGATATCCATTAGACCGAACTGTGTTTGATATCCATTAGACTGGACTGTACTGATATAGTGAGATGATGACGCTTTTTCGATTTTTTGTTTGTGTAAAAGAGATAAATAAGTGAGAATTTAGTTCTTGGTTTCAAGTTTGGGTATTGTGATTACATTTACATGTTGGCAGTGGGACCGGTTGATGGTACAGTGCAGATAAACTATAATATTGTTTGCTTAAATCTTTTGGTCCCCTTCAATGCATATGCCATCCATTATATGGTGTCTTTAAGGAGTAGCGAGTGCATTAATTCTTTAAAAGCATATGGGGGCCATTGGATGTGTATACTCCTTCAAGTGATGGCAAATACACCAAGTCTTTAGAAGCCTATGAGGACAATGGGTGTATATAAATAATGATAATGAAATGATGATAAGTGATACATTTCGATAAAATTAATAATATTTTCTTGTTATTAATTCATATCGAGGTAGGAAGAAGAAAGAAAAGGATATTTAATTTATTATTAGTTATTAATCCTATAAGATCTCATCAAGCATTAAAAGATGTTTGTGGGTATGTGGGGGAATCAAATAATGGGAGCATAGTGAATAATTGAAAAGATTTGTCATTGCTGGAACCAACTAGATTTGTTGATTTGATCTTGCCACCTTTCATCCCTCGCAGTCTCTCTTTGTGTATCATCTTTGGTTATTGCATCAAATAATTGAGTAATCTTATGTTAAATATTTAAAGTTTTTATGTTTTAATCATCAAAGAGATATATTTCAAATATATATATATATATATATATATATATATATATATATATATATATATATATATATATATAAAAGTTTAATTGAAAAAATAAAATAAAAGATTGACATGAAGAATCATTCTCAGTCAATCATTTTTATATATGTAAAATACATTTAGATTAAGTTATAAAGGTACGTTGTTCTTTTGAATCGTTTATCTGTTTTTCATCAACATCATTTGTTCTTGATCAACATCATATGTTCTACTACTTGTTTTCTATCAACGTCACATGTTCTTCATAATAGGGATGAACAGTTTGTCCCAAATCTCGATCTCGTACCGGTACTGTACTGGAACCGGTACTGAACCATACCGAATTTAAAAATACGGGACGGTACTTGTTACTCCATATACATGAAATTCGGAAATCAGTACCGTCTGTACCGGTACTAGTACTGAGTACCGGTACCATTCCCGGTACCGGTACCGATGATGTTAATTCAGTTCAGTACTCGGGATTAACTTTTGATCAAATTCAGTATTCGGGAAATCGGGAACGGGACGGATCGGTACCGGTTCCGTCCCACGCTCATCCCTACTTCATAAAAAAACATCGACACTTCATAAAAATATCAATTTTTCATAAAAAATCTTTATTTATTCGTCAAAATGTTGTGATTCATCATCAAAAACATTTATTCGTACTATTAGGTTTAATTCATGATTCAATCTGTCCAGTTTCGTAGATGTCAAGCAAAATCGTTAAACATAATCCATATTTATCGATGTCTCATCATTTAGCGATCACAAGCCATTGAAATTTCATCAATCGAACCTTCATCAATATCAAACAATAGATAACAATTGAAAATTATCAATATAACCATATATTTGAAGAATTTTTTAAAAATCACTTTTCAGGTTTGAAAAACTTTGTTTTTCATACATTTTTTATAATTTTTTTTTATCTTAAACTACCGATTATTGATCGATGGGATTTGATTTGTATTGTAATTATTGGCTTTAACTGTTAATTTTTTTTTACCATAATTATATAATTTAATTTATTTGCATGATAATTGTTCGAAGAAATGCATAAACTAAATATATCACGTAATATTGACAAGTGAATATGTCTTTATACGAGAATCAATGTATGTCTTTTAAAAACAAAGAGCAAGCATGTAATTCATATATGAATAATATATAAAAATTATATTCACACGAGAATCAATGTATGTCTTTTAAAAACAAAGAGCAAATATGTAATTTATATATGAATAACATATAAAAATTATATTCACATGTGAATATATGTAATATTCACAAATGAATACAGATAATATTCATATATTATAACACATTTTTTTGGAAAATCAAAATAAATAAATAAATAAATGAAAATACATCGTTTTGAGGTCCTAAACTAGTTTGTAATTCATATGTGAATAACGTATAGAAATTATATCTACATGTGGATATTTGTAATATTCAGAGTAAATTACATGAATGGTCCTTATGGTTTGGGGTAATTTGCATGCTTAGTCCCTAGTTTATTATTATTATTATTTTTTAACTCGGAAGGTCGATACTATTTGTTTTTGTTACACGCATGGTTCATACTGTTTGTTTTTGTTACGCGCTTGGTCCCTGTCTTATTTAAAAAAAACTATTTTTTAAATAGAGAAAAATGGTGGAGTATGTATGGTAAGGTGAGAGAGGTAGGGTTGGAGGTGTGTTTATTTAAAAAATTTTAAAAATCTAGGGTAAAATAGTCTTTTTAGGTAATAGAGGGACCAATCGCGTAATAAAAACAAACAATAGGGACCTTCCGAGTTAAAAAATAAGTTAGGGACTAAACGTGCAAATTAACCTAAACCATAGGGACCATTCGTGTAATTTACTCTAATATTCACAAATTAATATATGTAATAATCAAATGTGAATATATATATATATATATATATATATATATATATATATATATATATATATATATATATATATATATAATTCATAAATGAATAAAATTGTTAATAGAACCAAAAAGTACAAAATATATAAAATTAAAGTTAAAAAAGTATTCGATAATAATGTATATTTATTCATATATAACTAAGCTTTTTATGGTTAATAAAATAATATATATTACTGTTATATTCATTTGTGAATAAATGATAACTTTTTTTTTTCTGGAAAATTATAAAAATAGAAAAACGTCATTTTGAGACCCTAAACAGTTCCGAATGGCCGAAAAACATTATACGTCACGACGAAGCGGTGAGTTCGCACCATAAAAGAAACCCTTCCTCTTCAGAAGGAGGGATCGCCTCATTCTCTATCTTAGTCACAAACCTAATTCTCTCATATAACCACTAACTAGATAGTCGGAGGTTCGTTCTGGGACCACCTCCCAGACGACGACTGATGTCGGTTCCTTCTTTGCTGTGATTCTCAGGCTTAACCTAGACAAAACCATTCCCAGCCGGCGTTAAGCTCGGAACACATATCACAACATCTGGTTTCATCCGGTCGTGTACTCAGAGTTACGCAACCTTAATACAACTCTAGACATCAGCGATGACGGGAAAGGAACTTACGACATCCAACGAAAGGGAAACAAGTCCACTCAGATCAATGTTGTCGTTTGACGGCACAGAACCATCTGCGTCAGAAGGACAAGCCTCTACCCATACACCAACAATACATACATTAGGTCTAATAACTGGAACCGCATGCCGCGACGACGACAATCATCTCCCTATGGCGACTGTCATCCGTTACAACAGAGCACCTGGTTATAACCACAACTGTGGTGCCTCAGTCGATAGTGACTCAACAGTCGCAACCACCGACTCAACAATCACAACCAATTGTTTCTCAGCCACAATCGCCACTACAACAGGTGGGGATGAACACCTGGTCCCCCGGAACCATACTGTCCTCCATACAATACTCAATTTCAAGCTATTAGTTCTGTATTGTAGTAGGAATGTTGAACATTACGCTTTTCGCTCGACAACCTTTGATGTTCAACCCTTATTTTCAGCAGTTGTAGGGATCCATCCCCCACGCTCCACCGTCTCAAGAATCTAACCCTCACTTTTCATTGGCACAACAACTCAATACCCATGCTCAATAGCCTCAAGAGTCGAATTTAAACATGCTCTAGCAGCCGGAACCAGGATCACAACTGCAGCAAAGCACACAATCGAGCTCTTAGAAACATTTGTACATCTCGCAATCAGCGATGTACAACTAAGTATACAGGTACCTGTATTATGCTAAAAAATTTAAGATATCCACTGGTTTTCCATATCCATGCATGGAAAACCCAACGAGAAGCACCGACTCTGTTTTTTGCCAAGAGTTCTTGTAGTATGAGATCCCCCAATCGGAGATGATACCAAACACCCCCAAGTATGACAGTACAACCTACGCTAACGAGCATATCGACACTTATGTGTGGATGATAACATCGCTGAGGATGGACAATAGATTCATTTTCACGTATTTCCCTGTTACACTATCGAGTAACTCCTAAAAATGGTTCAAGGCACTATGACCGGGGAGCATCTCGAGCTTCGAGCAATTATGATACCGTTTACTTAACAACTTCATGCAACTAAGGAAGGGAAAAAGGGGATGCGAACTCAATAATGGCTTGTAAACAGAGGTAGTTCGATTCCATACGAGTGTATTATGACAGGTTGACCCTTGCAATGCTAAGCGTACCAGGCCACAAAGAATTCCTCTTCTCTTCCCCCCTCCAAGAAGATGCAAGGTGTTGGAATAATGTCTAAGGCTATAACTATATTCGGTGGTGCATTGTCCTTTTGGGTTGCCTTCACCATAGAAACTTGAAGGATAATTTGTTAAGAGAGAGTAAATGTTATAAGGAATAATATTTAGCTATTTGATTAATATAAGTCATAAATTAATTGGTATTAATTTGGTGACTTAAAGAGATTAATTAAATAAGAGGGTATAAACTGTCAATTGTTTGATAGTTAGACTTTAGACTATAAATCCATTAGGATGGACTTTGGACGGTTTCTAAGAGCTTTAGGATAGCTCAAAATAGTCCATAAGGATATCTATGAATGGATTTGGATAGCCTTAAGTGAAGATTATCCAATTAGGGTTTAGGGTGAAACCCTTAAGGAGTCTAAAGGTATAAATAGGCCCTTG